CCGAGCCCGGCAGCGGGCACAGGACGGGGGCAGCACGGATGCCGGGAGAGGCATGAGGGCATCAAATGATGCCGATCCCAAGGAAAGATGCAGGCATTGCGTGGGGAACACGGAACAGCCCGGGCGCTGGCAACGGCCCAGCAGGAAGAGCAGCTCTGCGCACCGCGAGGTCCCCGCTCCAGCCCGGAGGGACCTGGAGAGACGGCGGAGAGCAGCGGAGCCGGAGGGATCGCAGGGAGCCAGGGCAGCCCCGCTGCCCTCCTGCTGCCGCCGGGGCCAGCCCGAGCAACCCCCTTCCTTTGAGATGGTTTAATATGAGAGAAAGCAGATGTACGATACAAAATTTAAAAAGGGGCCTGCGGTTTGCCCCCCACCCGCTCGGTGCCCACGGAGGAGACAATAAAATAAAGGGGAGCGTGGCGGGGCGGCCGCCCGCCCCCACACACACACAACACGAGGCTCTTGCGCGGTCGCTGCGGCCAAGGTCACTTCTCCTTCTTGTCGCCGGCTGTCGTCTCTTCTCTGGAGGCTCCCGGCACCTCCTTGGGCGGGGAGGTCTCCTCGTAGCTGGGGACAGAGCACAGCGGGGTCAGGGGGACCGGCCCTTGCGGGCACAGCCCCAAGGGCTGGGCGCCCCCGGGGATCCGGCTGGGCTCTCCATAGGCCCCTGGAGCACAGGGATGCCCACGGGACAGTGCCCATTCCCCCAGCGCAGACCCCGCTGGGTGCTCAACGCCAGGGCTGGAGCCCGCGGCCCTGGCACAGCAGCCCCTGCCAAGGCCCCGGGACAGGGCACTCGTCCAGGCTGCTTCTGCAGTTTGGATCCACTTTTTGGCGCCGATACAAGCGGGATATCCTGGATAACAGGCTGCTTCCCCCTGCTGCAAGTGGTGCCCGGAGCAATGGGAGCCACAGAGCCCCACAAAGGCCAGCAAAAGATACAGAGGAAAGACAGAAACAGGGCCAGGCAGGACTCCAAGGACAGGGCTGTCACCTACTGTCCCCTTTGCCAGCTCAGGGCAACAAGGTGGCACCTCCTGCCCTTGCGTGGGGCAGGGGAGAGCTGGACGGAGCCCCTACCTGGCCAGGGCGACAGGCAGAAAGGGCCCGGGGGCTACAGGGCACTGGGGCTTTGCTGGCTGCA